GAGCCAGAAAATAAAATGTTAACATTTCCCTTTTATGACAAATAAATGATATTATGTTTTGTCAATAGTCCTCTCAAAGAATATCCGCCTGTACAAATAGATCTTTGAAGGAAATGATTAAGTAGAAATATTCTGAGCATTCATATATTTTGGTTTCCGTTCCGTGCTGCCTACAAAGAATTTATTATGTTTTCCAATAATATGCTGAGTAGGCAAATGACTTAATAAAACATGTAATACAATACGTACAATACACTTGCGAACGGTTGGAAGTCTTTTTTCATTCGTTGTTTGACAAATCTGTAGAGAATTATCTTTTACTAGCTATTCCCGCGACTTCGTTCGGCTATGAATGGGAATTTCTTAGAACGGATCATGTTAAAAGTGTAAACAAAACTGTATGGTTACATTGTGACGGTTCGGCTAGTCATTTTTAACACCATATCTTGTATAAAATGAATTATTAATTATCTTTTTTTTTTTATTTTATACAAGACTAGATGTTCCCGCGACCTCGTCCGCGTGGAATTTAACGTTATTTTTCTAAAATAAAAGTAGCCCTAAAGAACTAAAAATTATTTTGTTCGTCTTAATTCCATTAGGTACTGATCGGTTCAAACTAATACATTTACATGCTGCATCATCCCTTATTTTATCAACATGGGGAAAGGTACTCGGTGATGGATTTTCCTAAAAAAAATCTAGTACTTGTTACACTAGATCTGGTTAGCTTGAGACTAAACGGCGTTGTATGATACTGCTTTCTTGATATATGATAGCGTAGCGGCTTTTGTATTGATTGCCGCATGCATCCTTATGTAAAGTGCGAATACTGTAACTACCATATAGTAATTTTTGTAGCTGTGACGTGGTCGTGTGGAATGAGTAGTCATGCTCACTAAAATGTCCAGACATGTGGCGGCGTGGTGGGCCGGGTCAATGGGCTCCCTAAAATATGGTCGAGCGCAGTGATGGCTGGCTCATCCGTCATACTCGTGAACGAGTGCTGCTTGTAGGGACTGGTCTGCTCTTATCACTACGACTGATTTAATCTTATTGCATGATTATATTTGACCCAAGAAATTAGTGCTTGTTGGTAGTTTGTATTCACACGTTTCGACTTGTAAATGTAAACTTACAAGGATTATTTAAAAGAGCAACACACAAGTTTCTTGCTCGTTCTTCTTGTGATGAGACAGCTTTCCGAACGAGTGGTAGATAAAAAACAAATTGTTATGACTATTCAAAAGTGCTTAAATTAAGTTTATTTGAATAAATGATTTTCTATTCTATTCTATTCTATTCTTGTGATATTACTACAAAACAAGCTGCTTGCTGCAAATAAGTGAGACTTAGGTATCCACTTTTACTCAACTTTTACAATGTACTTCTGGTAAAATTAATGTTGGGGTAATAATACTATGTTGTCGGTTGAGACGATGTATATGACTGACAAAATGTACATAAAAATATTGATCTTATATACTAAATGGCAATAAGAAAATGTAAGGTGGGGTGACACAGTTCAGACACAGCAGTGCTTAGTACACAATATTGAGTTTGTCTTACTAGACATTATTAAACGCAATTATTATATTGATGTATCTAGATTACTGTGTAATTGTAATTGAAATAACTGTAGATACATAAAAACATGTGTAACGATTACTTGAATGACGAACGTGCATGGCAATAGTTTTCATGTTCGAGATTTTCATTTAATGTTAGACATAGACACCTATATAAATATACATTGTATATAAACTGGCTTATATAAATTCAAAACATCTAATCATTAAACTAACACTAAATCATTAAATCATTACTGAGCAAGGCCTATTACTCACTAAACGATTACTTGAATGACGAACGTGCATGGCAATAGTTTTCATGTTCGAGATTTTCATTTAATGTTAGACATAGACATCTATATAACCTATGCATTGTAAATAAACTGGATTTAAAAAAAAAAGTAATTCAATTGAGTTTCTTGTTCTTCTCAATTGGAGCTATATACTCTCAATTGGAGCTATATAGGTACTGAACTGGACGGTAGTGAAAAAAATTGAAAATGTAATATAAAAAATTTGACGTTCATAAGCGGCTAAAATGTCCTGCATGAATAAATGGTTTTTGAATTTGAATTTGAATTTATTTCAAAATTACTTTCCATTCACACTCAATGTTAATAATCAGAAAACTCCAATATTGCACAACAAAGCTAAAAACTTAATTTAATAAAAGGGAAACATTGGCTGTCCCTTATCGAGCGGGCCTTTACAAAGTGTTGTTATCTGCTTTTATCCACCGAACTTTGGTAATAAACAATGTTTTGCCTGTCATTACGAGGGCCGAACTTCGTGGTTGATTAAAAATGTCAATCCTCACCGGCTCAGAAAACATCTTTGTGTTTTGCTTCGAAATTCTTCAACGCTTTGTTTCTATCGTTTAATAAAGCCCGCTGGTTGAACGATGAAGACGGTTTTATTGTTTCGGACGCCGACCTCAAAAAATGAAGATTTTAACATAATTGGTTTGTTTTTATTTGTGTATGTAATACGAAATATTCGTTAATTAATTTTAAAAAACAAAAAAATGGACTCATAAGCTCAGAGTCACTCAGAGGGCAATGGAGAGGACTATGCTCGGAGTTTCTCTGTGTGATCGAATCAGAAATGAGGAGATCCGCAGAAGAATCAGAGTGACCGACATAGCCCGAAGAATTGCGAAACTGAAGTAGCAATGGTCAGGGCATATAGCTCGTAGGACAGATGGCCGTTGGGGCAATAAAGTCCTCGAGTGGCGACCACGGGCCGGAAGACGCAGCGTGGGAAGACTCAGCAAGGTGGACCGACGATCTGGTATAAGATCGTTGAAAGGCGATGGATGCGAGCAGCGCAGGATCGATCGTCGTGGAGATCTTTGGGGGAGGCCTCTGTCCAGCGGTGGACGTCTTCCAGGCTGAGATGAACAAAAAATACCCGATGCTCTTCTAAGTCCAAATATTCAGAGATTATTCCAGAGATATTGTAATTTAGATAATGACAATATGTAGTGAAATATGATAAATGAAATTTGGAAAATAATTTACGTCGGGAAATTTCAACTTACGGCAGCGTGTGAAATTTCAATAATCCGGCTCAAAGGACCAACAATATAATGGATCGATGGACTGTACGAGTGTCTATGCGTAGTTTATAATAATGTAATATATTAATGGGCAGTTGTGAATTATAAAAAGAATAATGTATCAATAACTGAAATTTATTGAAATCATGTTTTATACATGTTTTCAATAAATTTCATTTAAATTATTATATATTATAATATTTTTAAAACTAATAACAATATCAAAGGAGTTAAATATTATAATTAATGAAAACTGTGATTGATACAGCCTATGGTATAAATACTATAAATGACGTAATGGAGTAACTTTTTTTTATTATTTATTTATTTATTTATTCATTTCAACTTGAAACAATCATGCTCGATATAAAGTTCAAACTTTAGATCCAGATTTTATTGGATATATTTTATTATTTTAGCTATCATGGCTCTAATAATAACACCATGGTGGTCATGATGTTATTTGCAACAAAGGATGTTTTGATGGCGTATGGAAAAATAGATATTTATCGACCTATTCAATCGGATTGATCGGAATAGTTACTGTTTAAATTGAAAAGCAATAACTACATTCACAGCAAGCAATTATTCTGCTATGGGCGTACAAAATACATATATAGTACCTTCTGTTTTTATGTTGATTATACTTTCTTGTCTATACATTTATACATCTTAAAATTACATCAAATAATCAAATATTCTTTTAAGAAATGTATTAAAATTTTAGGCAATGTACGAAAACAACCTCTTGACCTATTATATATACGAGTATATATATAAAATTTCATATAGAAAGCTATAAACTTCAACACTACCGAACTTATTTTCATTTCATATTCACATAGATAGGTAATATACTGTAAAATATGTACTGAATTATAAATTTAATTAATGTATAATCTCACTAATCTGATTAAACAGAGATTAAGTGCGTAGCGGTTTCTACGTTGATTATCGCATGCCTAATCCTTGTTAATGTAAATCTAATTAAAACGATATTTATTTAAAAGAGCAACACACAAGTTTCCTGCTCATTCTTCTTGTGATGAGTCTGCATTCCGAATGAGTGCTAGAGTAAAAAAATGTGACTATTCAAAAGAGCTTTTAGTAAGTTTATTTGAATAAAGATTATTTCTATTTCTATTTCTACTAACATAGTTTTTAAGGTAATTACTGATACAAATGGATCTAGTTGTCTGAATAAATAATTATCTATACATATAAATAAAATTGGAGTGTCTGTTTGTAATATTGAAATAACCGTTTTTTACTACATGCATATGAACATACACCAAAATATTTTTATTTGCCATTTTTGTATATCTTTCAACGATTAGCCGTAATAAACAGACTGTTTGTTTCGGCTAATCTCTGAAATGGCTGGACCGATTTTGACGGGAATTTATTGGCATGTAGATGATGTAATAAACATAGGCTACTTTTACTTTAGAAAAATAAAGTAATGTTGCAAAATTCCACGCAGAAGAAGTCGCGCGTACAGCTAGTTATTGTTATTAATAATAAATAGTAGTAATATATTTTAAAAATTCGTTAACGATAATAATGTTTTTATAGAAAAACTTTAAATCCATAGCACTGACAATATTATCTGATTACATTAATAATGAGTGCGTAGCGACTTCTATGTTGATTATCGCATGCCTCTTACTTGTTATACTGTAATTATTTATATAAAAAAAAACATCTATTAAAAAGAGCAACACACAAGTTTCTTGCTCATTCTTCTTGTGATGAATCTGCATTCCGAATGAGTGGTAGAATCAAAATGTGACTATTCAAAAGTGCTTGTAATGAGTTTATTTGAATAAAGATTATTTCTATTTCTATTAAAGTATTGTTATTGTCCACAGTGTTAACAGAAGAGCCCCGTTTTGCCGAGCCGATACCCAACGTCACAGTTGCACTTGGCAGAGATGCCAGCCTCCCGTGTGTGGTCGAGCACCTTGGCACATATAAGGTAATTATTTATTGGATTTTTTTACTTTTATCACTATAGTAAATGTTGACGACCTCGGTGGTCTAGTGGATTAGCACACCGCTTCACGTCCGATGGTTGCAGGTTCGATTCCTCGCACGGTACAAACATTTGTATTCATGAGTAAGATTGTTTGTATCGGTCTGGGTGTTTCTATGTATATTATGTATGTATTTACAAAAAAGTAACTGTATATTTTTATCAGTAGTCTAATGTCCATAACACAAGCTTAGCTTAACTTGAGACTAGATGGCGCTGTATGAATTGTCTAAGTATATTATTATTATTATTGTTCCACAGTCTTTCAAGGAATATTTACCAGAAGATGTAATAATATATGTCTGATTTTTTTTATACACAGTGCCCCTCATATCTATATATTTTAAACACTTTAAATTTTATTATATAAAACAGTGTCATAATTTAATAAAAGTTAATTTAATTTGATCAACATTTATTTAATCTCAAACGGACTCTAAATAGTAATTTTCTTGAAATACAAGAAGTTTATAATATACTTCTCTATTAACGCAAATTATTATAGTATATAGTGTCATTTAGTGTGTGTAAAAATTAAGTTACTGTTGTAGTTTTCTTTTATTCAGGTATAGATAATAGGAAAAAAGACTTGGAATATGGAGAAAATATATATAATTGGATAGTATACTGACGTAAACAGAATAGAATTGAAAAGGAAGTAACAAACAAGAATATATAAAAGGAATTTAATAAAAAATACTACAATATTTGAAAAAAAAAGGAATTTTAAATACAAATTTAGAATATAATACACACAGTTACAACAGTTATGTATGCTGTGTCTACATCCAGTAGGATGTATTACTTAAATAGTTTATTTTATGTGTATAAAGTTATGTACTCTCTAATGAAGTCCAGTTTTGTAGACCTAATAAATAAAAAAAAATGAATCTACATACAGATATACTACATCTTCATTTACCATAAGTTACTTTAATGTATAGGTTTGAAAATTATTTTTTTATACATAGTGCCTCTCATATTGATATCTTTTATTGTATCTTTTAATAACTTTAAAATTTATTAAATAAGATAGTGTCATAATTTAATGAAATTTAATTTAATTTCAGTAATATTTATTAAAATTAAAAGTGCAACATGCAAACTTCTTATTAATTCTTCTTGTTATGAATAGATGGCGTGTGTCAAATCGTTTGAATAATAAAATATGACTATTCAAAAGTGCTTATATTAAGTTTATTTGAATGAATATTATTTCTATTTCTATTTTGATTTAATAGAATTTATTATTAGTATTTGTACCAGTTTAGTAGTATCCTTAGCTCAAGTTTTACTTAACTTGGGACTAGATGGCGCTGTGTGAATTGTCTAGAAAAAAAGACATAACGAACTATTTCAATTTAATAGAATTTATTGTTATGTGGAGTATTTATATCAGTTGTTTAGTGTCCTTAGCTCAAGTTTTACTTAACTTGGGACTAGATGGCGCTGTGTGAATTGTCTAGAAAAAAAAAACAAAACGAACTATTTCAACTTAATAGAATTTATTGTTATGTGGTGTATTTATATCAATTGTCTAATACCTTTAGATCAAGCTTTGCTTAGCTCGGGACTAGATGGCGCTGTGTGAATTGTCTAGAAAAAAAAACAAAACGAACTATTTCAATTTAATAGAATTTCTAATTGTAAGGGTATTAGACAATTGATATAAATATGTAGTATTTATATCAATTGTCTAATACCCTTAGATCAAGCTTTGCTTAGCTCGGGACTAGATGGCGCTGTGTGAATTGTCTAGAAAAAAAAACAAAAGCAACAAAAAGGTTCTGCCACAGTTTTGTAAAACAAAAAATTATATAAATCAATCGGCATGTTGATATTATCATTGCCTACCCTTTTCTTTCTTTTTTTTCTTTCTTTTATGCGCAACGATGTACCGGCTGAAGTGTTCTCCGGGGAAATCTGTCCGGGTCGCAACTTGGGGCAGGGGTTACTTGTACCAACTAAAGCAGGGTACTTTGTAACTTGTAAATTAATGCCTCCAGACGTTACATTATACTGGTACATGTACGCCAAAATTTAACATGTTAAAATCGTATGAAACTATTCGGGTCCGCAGTAAATGCAAACTGACAAATTGTGTAATGAAGAACTGGCAAGAAACTCAATTGAAAAAGTAATTCAATTGAGTTTCTTGCCAGTTCTTCTCAATTGGATCTATATACCGAACTGGACGGTAGGGAAAAAAATAAAATTATAATGTAAAAATTTGACGTTCATAAGCAGCTAAAATGTCCTACATGAATAAATGATTTTTGAATTTGAATTTGAATTTGAATAATTATTTTTTATTTAACACTGACTTACCCCACAAACGATTTGCCATATCAAAATCGCTATTAAAATTGGTGACAATTAAATTATAACAAAAAAATGCTTATATATATGAACGTACATACATTAATAGAGTTAACCTGCTTTTTAATACAATAGACAAATTATATACACATACTCCTAATATATAAAATTCTCGTGTCGCAGGATTCGTGTTTTACACCTCCGAAACGGCTTGACTGATTTTGATGAAATTTTATATTTAGTAGGTCTGATAAGTTTATAACTAATTTTTATACCCATAAGTGTTAAAAGCGGCCCACCCCAAAATTTTTTTCATTTTTTCGACAACCTTTTTTATTCTGTGGCATTAAAAATACGTACGACCCTAAATTTTCACCCTTCTATCATCAACTCCTATTTTTTAATAGCGATATTAATCTATATGGCAAAACAACGTTTGCCGCTCAGCTAGTATATATATAAGACGACGACTAAACGGCCTCGGTGGTGTAGCGGTTTAGAACACTGCCGTACTTCCGATGGTCGCGGGTTCGATTCCTCGCACGGCACAAACATTTGTATTCATGAATATGATTATTTGTATCGGTCTGGGTGTTTTCTATGTATAATATGTATGTACTTAAGAAAAAAATATATTTATGTATTTGTATCAGTTGTCTAACCAATAATGCAAGCTTTAGCTAGCTTAACTTGGGTCTAGATAGCGCTGTGTGAATTGTCCTGAGATTTTACTGGTTTTATTATTATTATTATTATTATTATAAATAATAGACAGTATAATATTTAATTTTCATATAAATATACTTACTTACAATTAAGATTATGAATACTATATATACGTGATACCATCTTAAAACTTACCAGTTTTATTAAGTCTGCAGGCTTAGTAGATGAGAAATTTCTATTCCATTCTATATAATATCAGTGGAGGATATTGTGAATATATTATTTCGCTGTATTTATAAAGAAAAACGTCATGAAAACACAACTTGTGAACAATCATCGTGGAGCGAACTCACTTAAGTTACTGAACTTGTTTATTTGTTAATGTGCCTCTAGAAAACATGGAAAGCACAAAACTTTTGATTAACTTTCTTGAGGTAAATGAAATTATTTCAAGGAAACCCTTAGCTCCGCGGGACAGGACGCATTTGTATTATATCACTAGCTGTACGCGACTTCGTCTGCGTGGAATTTAATTTTAATTTTCTAAAATAAAAAAAAAACCTAAGTTACTTCTTATTACATTAGCTATCTGCCAATAAAAGTTTCGTCAAAATCGGTCCAGCCATTTCAGAGATTAGCCGGAACAAACAGACAGACAGGCAGAGAAAAATTGTAAATAATATTATTTTGGTGTATATACCGTATTTATATTGATATGCATGTAGTAAAAAACGGTTATTTCAATATTACAAACAGACACTTCAATTTTATTTATATGTATAAATAATAACCTCGGTGGTCTAGTGGTAAGCATACCGCTTTATTACCCGATGGTCGCGGGTTCGATACCTCGCAAAACAAATATTTATATTCATGAGTATAATTATTCGTATCGGCCTGGGTGTTTTCTATGTATAATATGTAAGTATTTACAAAAAAATATATATATATACGTATCAGTTATCTAGTATAACACAAGCTTTAGCTAGCTTAACTTGGGTCTAGATGGCGCTGTGTGAATTGTCCTGAGATTATTATTATTATTATCATCTTAAACCATAGCCTAGTTTATATCCTTACAATACAGATTATATTATGGCGATTAAAGATGAAGCAGTTTCATTTTGTGATCTAATTTAGAATTATTTCCATAATAGAATACATAATTATAGAATTTAAATTATATTTAAGATTCTAATCAAATTTCAAAGTTGGAATTGGTCTTCTGTCTCGGTAGTCTAGCGGTTTAACGTACAGCTTTACTTCAGATAGTTGCGGGTTCAATTCCTCGTACGATACAAACATTTATATTCAGGAGTACGATAGTTTGTATTATTAATAATGACATTGCAGGATAAACAAATAATTAATATAATTAAAAAAAAAATGCGTAATTCACTAAAATATCCTACATGTTTCTTTTTTATACTACGTAGGTGGTAAAGCATACGGCTCATCTGATCACAAATGGTTACCGTAGCCTATGGACGCCTGATAAACAAGGGGTGTCACGTGCGCGCTGTCGACCCTCATGAAATCTTAGTATACCCTTCTAGAAGCTCTGTGCTGTAGTCGCTTGAGAAAAACCTTCTGAAAGAAAACTTGTTATATGTGTTTATGTCACTGCAGAGTCAGATATATATATATATGTACTAGCAGATACGGCCACGAGTTACAGTGGCTAAGTTTCTTGAATAAAATAATATTATGACTATAAATTGAGATGTAAGCTATCCTATCTTTCAAGTTGGATCAAATTGCACACAATATGCAAATCAAATTTGCAATCAGTTCAGTCAGAGTCCATCGCGGATCATAATTTATATATATATAAATGTACACACATTTTTTTTTGCATCGCTTTGATTCAAATTCAGTAACTTTTTGTCTAAGTACGGGTACTTAACCACTAGAATGTACACACAATTTTTAATTTTTTTTTGCATTGGTTAGATTCA